AATTAAATCGTTACTTGTCCTGGTAGTTTGTTAAGTACTTGTAGGCCTAAGTCCTAATGAAATGCGAAATCCAGTGATTGAATTTGAGGATATGGGTGCAATCCCATACCTACATATCTATTTTTTGGAACCAAAAAGAAAAAAATTAATCTAAGGATTAAATCATTTTGGTACAAACCCTTCCTTGACCCAGTCACCCGAGCTTTTATTCTTCTGAAATTAATATCCAAGAGCCCAAATCATCCGGTTTGTCCAGGTCAACATCCAGGACGGCATCGAGGAAAGAACGGCAAAGACCCCGCGTCAGACAAAGCCATATCTACTTCCGGATAAGGTAAATGTCGTGTCGACTTGCAATAGACTAATAGTTTATAAAATCAATTTCAGGCTCGTGCTGCTATTGGAATCAGTATCCAGGTGGTCTCCAGCAGCAAGCCAGCCACTTGGGGGCGCTTGGGTTTGCCACGAAAAGAACATTTCTAAGTGATTAAAAATTGAAGACAAGGACAAAGAACAAGTCTCGGCACACGGAATTAGCTGGGAAATCCCAAAATTCCATTGCATTCGTACTACTACGAATTGATTTTCCGGGTGATGTGGATTGTCTCACTTTCGTCACCAACGTCCTTTTACAGTTCCATGATTTGATAATTCCACTGTAATTAAAGTAGGAAACGAAATCCAAGTTGCAAAAGGAGAGCAGAATGTTCGTGGCCCCCAAAAGGAGAAAAGACTAGGCGCCTTCGGGGGCGGGTTTGGGCCACGTGTTCCACGCGCTGTTACGCGGCAAAAACCTACTAGCTCAAGGCTCGAACACACCACCGTCCCTTCGTGTGATTTTGTCCGATGGGGGACAATGGCAGTTGGAAAGGATTTAACTGTCAACCGTGTGTTGGAAAGCGTGTGACGTCACTCTGGAAAGGTTTCTCTTTGATTCCTTCGACTAGCGCTTACCAACTTGCCACCTCATTCTTTCCACCATCTGTTCCCCATGCTTCGTTTAAGTTTCCAAACTGTCCAAAGTCGTCGCCGATGTTTTCCCTAACTCGGCAAACAATATCTTTCCTAAAACTATATTTCATTAAAATTTAAATATATACTCCTTTTTTTAAAAAAAATTACACCTAGAAAAATTATCCATGGTTTGATGATTTTTAAATCTTTTTTTAATTCAGTAAAGCTTCTATAAATTATTAAAACATGTATAATTTTAATTAAAAAAATTAAACTATTATTGTGATTTTGCTTAAACCAAATATTAATAATTAATTTTTAGTCAATATATTTGAGTATTTTCAAATTTTGAGATTAAAAAACAAATGTTTTACAGATAAGAAAAGTTGTTGTGATTAAACTTAACAATTTTTGTTCACATATTTTAATTGTATCATCAATATAAATTTTAAAAAGCAATAAAATCTTTTAAAATAAAATATTAATAATTATATAAGTAAATATGAGTATAATATGATCAATTTAAATGAATTAAGGTAAAAACATTTTATATAAATATATTTTTTTGTAAATTATATAAACACATTTATTTTATATTTTTTTGAAAAGCATATGAATGCGTTTATTAAATATGTAATGCTACATGTCATACTTAACATATTTATTAAAAGACCTGTTTAAATTTTACATGATATGATATGATTGATAACTCATTTAAACATTAACAAATTAACATGATTAATACAATTATATTAAAATATTTATTTTTAATAATTTAATTTTAACATATATATGAACAAAATAAAATTTTATTGTTCAAAATTAAAACTAAAAAATTGCTAAACAAGAATAACAGACAATGATATCCATCAAGCATCAACATTCAACATAAGAAAACCATAATAAAATTCAAATAATATCCATAGTATGTCAATATAATAAAACACCAAAAGCTAAAATTGAAGACTCTTCTGTCACTCTAACATCATTTTTATACCACAAAAACTATTTATAAAATAAAAATAATCTACTAATAATATTTGATAAAATTGATATGAGTTATTTATACAGATCACAATGGGTAAATGATAAACATGTTAAATCAATTAACTAAATAAGTAAACAATTAATATGGATTGATATAGTACATGATTAAAACAAATTTAACAAGTCTTAAATGAGTTAATTAAGGAAGTTTGACATGAAATTAAGGTGTCGTTAAGATTAATACACGAACCTAATTACTTTAAATCCAAATCAACTTAATTTCATATGCCGTATATAAAATTGTCTAAGTCTAATTATCATTTGTGATACAATAACTAAGAGGAGGTCAAGGTCAAGGTCTATTCAAATAATAAGTTGGTTGTGTTAAAAAAAGGTTTGACATTCTTTTTGTATACAAATCTTAACAATCCAGAATTGACATAGTCTACACTTGAAGATATGATATTTGTGACTTGAATAATATTTAATAAAAAAAAAATTTACTTAGAGGTTGAAGAAGTTTTAGCAAAAGCCCAAGGACCATCTGCTTACCATTAAGTACATGCATATATACTTTATGGACAAAAATAAATTCAATTTATTTATTGAATAAATGGAAAACAAACAAACTCAATTTTATCTTACTATCTGGATTCACACAAAATATATTTTGATTGCAAATTTTGTTAATTAGGAATCATATTCATATAACAAAATATTTATGAACATGATATAATTTAAGAAGATAAAAAAATAGTATACTATATATCTACAGAAAAAAAAATCAGCAAAAGTCCCTCAAACTCAAACATTTGTATGAAGTATGAAAAGATCAAACGTTTACGAAGGCGAGGGTCGCAGGAGAAGGATATGGGGCGAGTGAATTGTATACTCAGAATCCAGCAGATAATACTGAAGCTGACCCCTTTGACTCCGACAGTTACAGATATAGTCTCTCAACATAAAAAATTGAAAACCCGACTAGTCAAATATCCTACGTGTCGTCCCCTAGTTGATCCACAAGTTGCAAAAACCTGACAGCTGGCCGCGAAACCTAGTCCTAGTCTTTTAGAAGCCTTCTTATCGCGAAAACTATGTTCAAAGCGTGGATCCCCACACCCTCTACCCCACAAGCCACAGCCTGGATCCTCTTCACTTTCCGTGTCCGCCACCCTTTTTTTTGTTCTGTAAAGAAGCTCAATTTCTAAGCCATCTGGAGAACTACATTTATATAACGCGCCATTTCACACTTCTAAATTCTAATTCACTCAGTCAGTTAACAAAGCTCATCATTTTCTTCGTGCTTGCAAATTCTCAAGTCCAAAAAACTAATCACTTCCTATAAGTTAAAAGGCTTTTTTTTTTTACCTTTACTCAGCTGAAAGTTCACTCTCAAACTTCACTTCAAATACTCAAAGTCAAACGTTGTTCGACTGGAAGTTCCAAGTGTTACTACTGTTTTATTCCTTCTTTCAGAAATGGATTTTTTGGCTCAAGATTATGAGATGCTGGATTCTGGGTCCGTTTCCTCGCCGATTTCCGATAGTGGAAGTGTGAACTGTCGACCGGCGAATTTCTCCGATGAGGATGTGATGCTAGCTTCGAGTTATCCGAAGAAGAGAGCCGGGAGGAAGAAGTTCCGGGAGACTCGGCACCCTGTGTACCGTGGAGTCCGCCGCAGGAACTCCGGGAAGTGGGTTTGTGAAGTCAGGGAGCCAAACAAGAAGTCGAGGATTTGGCTGGGGACTTTCCCCACCGCGGAGATGGCGGCGCGTGCACACGACGTGGCGGCGATAACCCTGAGGGGAAGGTCTGCTTGTCTGAACTTTGCGGACTCCGCTTGGAGGCTTCCAGTTCCGGCTTCTACGGATCCTAAGGATATTCAGAAGGCGGCGGCAGAAGCGGCGGAGGCATTTCGATCGGCTGAGCATTCGGATGGGAACTCTGGATATGACGCAAAGAGAGAAGAAAACACGGAGGCGGAGAAGGTGACAGAATCTGAAAATGGGTTTTATTTAGACGAGGAGGAGATATTTGGGACACCGAGGTTTTTGGCAAACATGGCGGCAGGGATGTTGCTGTCACCTCCTCGTTGTGGGTATAATGGAAATGAAGAAGAATGCGATGTTGCTGATGATTATGTACCCCTATGGAGTCATTCCATTTAAAATTACTTCAAATCAAGCATACAGGTGTGAGTTATATAGTGTGCCTTGGCTGATGGTTGCACCAATTGTTTCCGTACTTGAAATTTTTTGGGCTAGTACGGATGATGTATATTTGTAATTCTCTTGAAATTCTCCTAAAAGGTGAGCACACACAGGCGCTCCAGCTTGTAAGTTGTATCGCACTGATTTGAAAGATTTTTCTCTGACGATGGTCTTAGGTATCTGGTTGACTTGATCGATTCGATGACAATGTATGGGTACACCAATATAGGGGCAGTTTGGTTATCCAACATTTGCGGTGTGATGTTCCTTTTAAAATCTTTGACTTGATGACATAGATTTTCCATAGCAGACGCCAGCATCAACAAAGGGTTATGAGATCCCTCCAATGTGGATATTGTGGGGTCAGGGAACTCAGAGATCATGTTGTACTAAAGTTTAGAATGGAACACCAACAAAAGGAAAATGGATGAAAAAATTGGAGATTAGAAGCTTATATGGAATGGAGATGTTGAATTGAGAATGCCACCAAATTCTGAGCATTGCACTGTAAATAGCCCGACACTTTGTCGACTTTTTAAGTCCAAGCTAAGATGAGCCCAATTATAGTAAGGTTTGATCAAATGGGCTTCTCCGCATCTCGGGGCCTCATCTCGTGTATGCTTTTGAATCATAATGCGTCAGACTTTAATTTGGCTTCAATATAGTTTACAATTCTTTGCACGACAGGCGACAAAACTAAAGGCATTGTAAAGTGACAAGAATGCTTACACGTGACATCGTTCCCTACAAACACTGATTGATCAAGCAGTGCAAGTAAAACATGCCTGTTTGAAAGATATCACAAATTTACATTGAGATTTGATTGCCTTTGTGAATATGTACCGATCATCACGAAAAAAACAAAGACAAGATTCTAAAAAATTGGACTTCAATTACAGTGCATATCTTTGCATTGCGAAGATATTTTCAACCATCAGCAAACAAAATGCAAAAGAGTCCGGCCATGTTAAGCATTCTAGAAAAAAACGCAGAGACACAGAGGAGCCATAGATGTTTCATGCACAGGCGAGCTTGATCACGGGTGAGTTTGGTTACTTGACAGATTTCACCATCCAGTTAGTGCATGCGTTCCATGAAAGAAATATCACTTTATTTTCTTAAGGAGGGTTGTGGTCCTGAACTCAGCATCATCCCTGACAAAGCTCCAGCAAATGTAAGTAAGAGGGATACTAGCAGCATGCCAGAGAGCATGAGCATCAACAAACCCCCTATAAGGTGGGAATTCATATATTTGCAAAAGCACAGCGAGGCTTCCTCCCACAACAAACAGCCAAACCTTCCAGCGAGATGGATGGCTGGTTACACCAGCCCAAACTCCCCAAATGAGAAGTTGAACTACCCCCATAGCCATACAAACTTTCATATTTAGACCTGCAAACAAATCTGACTTGTGATGCAACATAAACCAAATGATAGCTGATAATCATCATTAGTGTTCATTTCAAAAAAAATGAAATATACTTATGACGAAACCAATAAAATGATTGGGCTATAACTGGAAGAGTATTTATGATGAAAGAATAACTCAGCACAAGAGATTGGCGAAGACATTTTGAGAGAAAGTTCAGGAGATCCCAAGTAGCTATCAGACATGGCCATTTTGAATTGAGTGAGCACTTTGGAAAGAAAATACCAAACTGAACCACTGCTCCAACAGTCTCTATTTATAGTCTACAATATGTTGCAAGTATAAAAAATTGCAGAATAAAATTGTACACAAGGCCCAAGTCTAGAGGCTAACTATGTTTAATGTTGAAAATCGTGTTTTGTGCAAAGGGATTAATAAAGAAAGAATTACCATAATCAAGTTTGTAGAAGTTCAGATACAAGATGTGTGTTGTCACAAATGCTATCAGTGGAGCAGCAACCATGACTCTTGAAGCTTCATCTCTCACATCAAATGCTCGTAGTATTGATAAAATAAGACTAAACCCAACTAATGCAACAGCAGATGAATAATCTAGCTTCTCTGTCAACTCAACATCTCTATGGTTAACTAAGTTAGAGCACTCCACATAATATAAAATCAAAATAGTAAAAAAATTCAACAACATTATACAATGAGTACAAGAATATTCCACTGAAAGAACAACCATCTGATTATGTCTTATTTCTATTTTTCAGAGATATAGTGATTATTTGTTACTGATATTACATCATGACTGACTCATCTTCTATATGGACATTGGAAATCATTGTTGCCAGTGAGTACGCTATACATGCTATGCTGAATCACATGTCAAAACCCTTTTGCTCAAATTATTTTCTGGAAAGCGTCAAAAAGTGTTTACATGACTAAGAACTTGACAAGGCTCTGGTATAAGAATTTCTCCTCATTGTTTCAGTGCAATTTATGAAATGTCACCAAATTGATTCTTTGAGTTCACATCAGGTTGGCCAAAACAATAAAAGAGCTGTGACATCAGGAAGGAACATTGAATCCTATTTTAAAGTTACTCTAGAACTACAATAAAGGAGATGCTTTGAGATAACTGGTCGAAACAAACATAAGGAGGACAGCTTACCGACTGTGAAAAACAGCACTCCAGAACCAGAAGTTCATTGCCAGGATACCATAGATGTGCCACAAGCCAGTAAACTCGTAATAAGTCCTTTTATTAGGCCTCAAAGGCAACTTATAATACAGAAGGATAAAAAAGGAGATCCAACCATGAAACTGTATTGCAAGACTTAGTGCAGAGAAAGCTACAGCAACAGGTTCCTGAAAACATGTGAACTGAATATCATTAACAAGAACAACAGTCTAAAAACAACATAATAATGATAGAAAGGTGATAAACGAAGAACCTGAATCCCATAGACACGTCGAAAAGGCCATTTTCCATGATATTTGACCGGTTTGTCGCCGAGGTTCCCTCTTTGCTCCTCCCTAGAAAGCATACAGTGGTATCGACAATCTGTACGACAGTCCCACTGCTTCCATTTCTGATAAAGGGGCTCTTGTAAATACCATGGCCCATCAATTGGTTTTCCATCAGATGAGAATTTACAGTGTTGAAAGCACGTTTCCCCCACGCACCCACTTTTCTCACAATCCTCCAAACAAGCCCTAATAAATGAACAAACAGCTTAAGAACAATCGTAACAACCTCAAGAGAATCACAATCAAGTTAAATTGCCGAGAAAAGAAAAGGTCATAAAAAATACGCAAAAAAGAAATATTCTAAATATAGCAACTTCAAACATCATAAAAACTCTTATTTGTTACAAGAAAGTACTAATTTTAGTACCATTACTTACAAACTTTTATCAAATAAAACTTAAACACCCTAAACCATAGCTTTTGCCTCTCCAAATAAATCCACCAATAAACTTTTCATCCAATTTTTCCTTCAAAGAAAAAAAATTAATAAGATAAAACAGCAGCTTTTTCTATCAAACAGTACAAACATAATTAAAGAACTAAAATTATTTTCTTATCGAAGCTGCCAATTTTCGTGCGAATAGAATTAAGAAAAGCAAATACAGAGCGAATCGAGAGAAGTAAATCAAGCGAACTTACTTGTAAATCGGATCAGCATCACCTTCACTGGCGTCAAGTGAAGGTACGAGAAAGGAAAGCGCAAAAAAGAGCAGAATCAAACCACAGGGAGCCATTCGATTCATGGCCAAAAAATAAAAAAGTCAACAGGGAAAAAAATGATTCGTGATTTATTTCTACAGAATAAAGGATTTCTTATTGAGATTTCGGAGATGACGTGGTGGATTCTGTCCCATGGAATGGAAAAGAGAGAGAAAGAGAAAGAGTTCGACTTGAAGAACCGAGTTGAGCTGGTACAGCGAACTCAGTAGAGAAAGGAAGGGACAGAGGTGAGTCAGTTTTCAGGAGGAGAGGCAAAGAATCGTCGAGTTATGTGTTTTTTTTATGGAAAATCGTGACCGTGATGGGCGCAGCGACCAGAATCCCGTGAAGAGCTGATCTCAGTAGCGATCCATCGTATGACACGTGGATATGCGAGGCTGTATAATTTTACCAAAATGACATCCCAGTTCCACCATGATGATGCTTATGCCCCTGGCATTGACCAGTTTTAAACGTCGCCGTTTATTGTCTTCCAAAGCAGTTACTTCCACGTGAAAAATCCGTGCTAGAACCGTTGGCAAGTTAAACCAAGAATTTGGACAAAAATTCTCAAAAAATCAAAATTATCTCTCTCTCTCTCTCTCTTTTCTTTTCTATTCATGTGTCCATGGCCACTGCCTCCGCCTCAATAACCGTGCTTCTCCTCCACCATCTCAACCCGACGCGCTTCCCCACTAGCACATGCCACGCCCGCAAGCTCAAGCTCAAGCTCAAGCTCAGTCTTTCTCAAAATTCCCCTCTCCACCAATCATGTACTTTCCCGCCAATTTCTCTCCCCACAACGACAAAATCCGGAAGACTGAACGTCTCGAGTCCAGTATCTCGCGCTTACGTCGCCGGGCCTCCGATCGTGACCGAGCCTGACCCGAAAATCGACGAGCCGGATCCGGATACCGAGAAAGCTGAGCCGCCGAACTTGATCAGTCGGAGGCTACTATGGGTTCTTCTGGTTCGGCACAAGCTCAGAATCAGCGTCTCGGTGTTGGCTCTCATTGGCTGCACCACGTGCACTCTCTCAATGCCCATATTTTCTGGTAAGGGATATCTTTGTTAATGTTAAGTTAAGAAATTAAAAGATTTTAATGCTAATTAAGATCAAGGAAATGTATAGGACGATTCTTCGAAGTGCTTATAGGGGCCAGACCCGAGCCGTTATGGAAGCTGCTTAGCAAAGTTGGGCTTTTATACTCATTGGAGCCCATTTTCACAGTTATTTTTGTCGTAAATATGAATACCATATGGGAGAAGGTTATGTCAACACTTCGAGCTCAGATTTTTAGAAGAGTTTTGATTCAAAAGGTATGTAACTTATGATTATTTTTCACCATTTTCTCTATGGATTTGATATTTAAATTGTAGTATTACTTTTTCTAATTGTACTTTTTTCTTTGTCTATGCAGGCGGAGTTTTTTGATCGATACAAGGTTTGTGAATGGTAAAGAAAATACTTTTTTTTTTTTTTGGTTAGTGGCTTTTTGTCATAGTAGTGTTTTGCTTCTAATAGGTTGGTGAGCTCAGTGGTTTGTTGACATCTGACTTGGGTTCTTTAAAAGATGTTGTCAGCGAGAACATTTCAAGGGATCGCGGGTTCAGGGCACTTTCTGAGGCAAGCCACTCTATACTAAAGCAAACGTGAGCTAGATGTTACCTAAAATTAAGAATGTAGTTTGAATTATCTTTGACTCTGGCCGACTCTATTCTTCTTTCACTGGAATTTAGTTTAAAGTTCCTGGACTTCAAAAACAATTTTAGCAGAATTGTTTGAATCTTGAATGCCATTGATAGTTGAGACTAGTTGCTTAAAAACACTTTGTTTACCTTTGTATTTCTAGGATTTATTCATGTGTGATTCAATGCAAAGCATCATTTATGATTGTATTGATCATTTCATTTCATCCTGAGTATTTTATGTTGTTGTAGGTTGTTGGGACAATATGCATACTGTTTGCTCTATCTCCCCAACTAGCCCCAATTCTGGGCCTGTTGATGCTTTTTGTGTCCGTTTCAGTTGGTAAATTCTTTCTCTTTGGAAATTTGGTTAATTTAGCAGGTTATTCCTTGTTTGAATTTATCTTTATAATAAAAGTGATGTAGGAGTTGTACCTAAACTTTCTATGTATCACACAAGAATAGGTACTAGACCTACTGCCAAAACTTTGTGATACTTCCCTCATCAAATTTGCTGTTGAAGGTGGGCAGGTCAATGGTTTGCAGAGTTTTATTTTGTAGGCTAGTTGCAAGTTTGGCATTTCTTCAACTATTGTCTATTAGTCACGTTCACAAAGGTGCATATACACTTGTCTTCCTTAAACCCTGTATCTTCTGACACCACCTAAATTTGATCTGTTAGTGATTATTACTTTGTGCTCATTGTACTCCCCTTTTGAAATGTGTCATACTTATGCGAGTTCATGTCTTTTTTTTTTTCTGCTTCTGATGATGATGATGATTATTCTTCAAGCTTTATACAAACGATCGACTGTACCTGTGTTTAAAGCTCATGGATTGGCCCAAGCTTCAATGTCTGACTGTGTGACAGAAACATTTTCTGCAATTCGAACTGTATGTTCTTAAAATGCTTTGTCCACCTACCTACTTATCGCTGCATCTCCTCATGGAAATTTGATTTTCTTGAACTCCAAAATCTGACAATGCCAATCACTTGATATCTTTGTTTTACTTCAAGATAAAGGTGTGAGTAAAGCTTTGATGTAGGCTTGACTGAAATAATAACTTTGGTTGTCATAGGTAAGATCCTTTTGTGGGGAAAAGCGTCAAATGTCAATCTTTGGTAGCCAGGTAAGATATTTGACATTGGCTCTTTTATGTAATTACTAAAGCTTTTATTCGCACTGCATAAGTAGTTGAAAGTTCTTTGGTGCGCTTAACATTTATTTTCAAGGGTTTTGGCAGGTTCTTGCATATCAGAAAAGTGGTATAAAGCTTGGGACTTTCAAATCCATAAATGAATCTTTGACCAGGGTTGCTGTCTATATTTCTTTACTGGCCCTGTACTGCCTTGGAGGAAGCAAAGTGAAGGCGGTGAGCATTTCAATCTTGGGATACACTTTCTCTTAACTATCTTAAATGTTCGTGTTATTCATCCTAAATGTTTAACCTTAACCATTTTCCTCTGAGCATTTTATTTTTGTCATTCTTTCATACTAAATGTTTGTCTCTCTCTCTCTCTCATATGCTGATTGCAGGGGGAATTGTCTGTTGGAACTGTGGCTTCTTTCATTGGATACACTTTTACATTAACCTTTGCTGTGAGTCCCTTTTCACCCTCCACACTCACTTATGCTTGCACCTTATGATATGTGCTTTCCGCTGTAACACTCATATCAGGTTCAAGGACTGGTTAATACATTTGGAGACCTACGTGGAACTTTTGCTGCTGTTGAGAGGATTAACTCAGTTATATCTGGAGCAGAAATCGATGAAGCCCTTGCTTATGGTTTAGAAAAAGAAATCCAGAAAAAAGAAGTTGATGATGAAAATATCAAATTGTTCATCTCCAATGGTGCTTTTGAGAAAAATCAACAACTAAATTCACATTACATGTCAGCACTGAAATCAACTAGCAATGTGGGAAGACTAGCTTGGTCAGGCGATGTTTGTCTTGAAGGTATTATTGTATGCAGTCTGCCCAATTTCTATATGAGGCAGTCTTTGTATTTTTTGGAAGATTTGTATCTTCTTATTAAGAAAATATAAAATATTTTTACATTAAGTGAAATAAGGAAGTTTTTGGTAAGAGGAAAGTTTCATACATTTATCATACTATCCTTTTCTGAATAAGTTTAAAATAATTTAGGCTTTTTTATGAAGCTTAGAATGTGAATGTAACTCATCTAGTATGTTAGCAGAAAAGTTAGCTTTTGAAGTAAAATCTCTCTTCTTCATCTTCTTCTTTTGTTTTAAATCAGCTTTTTCTGAGTCACTGGTAAATGTAATCTTGGAGCAATGATCAAATATACATACAATATTCTAGTGCACCATCTAATGTGGTTCTTTGTCCTGCAGATGTACATTTTTCTTATCCTTTAAGGCCTGATGTGGAAATTCTTAATGGTCTTAATTTGACTCTAAAATGCGGAACTGTAACTGCTCTGGTGGGCCCAAGTGGTGCAGGCAAAAGCACAATAGTACAGCTATTGGCACGCTTCTATGAGGTTTGAAAGAAAATTGTTTTTGTTGGTTCTACTTATCTTGCACAAATTGATATTATATTCTTGCAGCCAACGAGTGGTCGTATAACAGTTGCTGGAGAGGATGTCCGAACATTTGACAAGAGTGAATGGGCCCGTGTTGTCTCCATTGTGAATCAAGTATATATTTGAAACTTGCTTTTCAAAAAAAAAAGTATATATTTGAACCTTCATGCATGTTAATTAGCACTTAACATGAAGCCATTGTGCTCGTGCTGTCATTCTTGTGCCTTCTTAACCTTAGCATGATTAATCAAATAACCAGGTCAACTTGCTTTATCAGCCAACCATTGAACTTGTTCATAGGATAATGCTTGTATAGGTTACAAAGCAAAAGGTTACCATCAATAGTGCACCAGACGTGTTGAATGGTATGAATAGCATTCTTTGACTTACTTTGCTAATCATCTGACAGAGTGAAAATGATGACAAATTATCTCAATCAGAATAGATAATAGCCTCCAGGCTGCTGTCCATACTTGTATGTAATAATAGTTCTGTAGTGTTTGTTTAGATTAAGCGAAACTTTACTGAAACATATATGCAAGCGTAGCATCATTCATGTTCTTCCATTTCTGAATGTTGTTGTTGTTAATTAGGAGGATTTAATTAATGGCACTTTGGTGCTGGATTGATGTAGTTGGCTTCATCGGTTTAAGGAATAGCTTGAGTTTGATTGTTTAGGCTTGGATGTAATTCAGACTTTATTGTTGCATTTGTCAATGTTGATATGGATAAAGTGACACAGGAACCTGTTCTATTTTCGGTGTCTGTTGGAGAAAATATTGCATATGGGCTTCCAGATGATAATGTATCCAAGGATGACATTATTAAGGCTGCAAAAGCTGCAAATGCTCATGAATTTATAATTTCCCTTCCACAGGTTTGTTGGTTTGACTTATGCATCTGTCTTTGTTTTGCAAGCATATTTATTTTCTGTTAAATTTTTGTTTACTTGAAAGGGCTATGACACACTGGTTGGTGAGCGTGGAGGCTTGCTGAGTGGAGGACAGAGGCAGGTAATATTCTAAGTATACGTGCATAGTGCTGGTGCATTCTTACATTATCTACATGAGTGGATGTATACATATGTATACAAACATATGTATGTATGTATGCATGTGTGTATGAATAACAGGGAAAGGTAGAAGGGGTAACTGATTCTTACTGGTTCATCTTCAGAGAATTGCTATTGCAAGAGCTCTCCTCAAGAATGCTCCTATCCTGATTCTGGATGAGGTAATTTCTTTTTTATGCCTTGTGCATCTGCACATTCTCTTGGTGCAGATCATTCTCAGCCTGATTCAAGACATGATGCCCAGGCATTATTTAATGCCAGGCCCTAAATTTCTTCCCAAAGGCTTGCTTGGTTGTATTTTTGAAATATTATGGAACTCCATTTCCATTCAGAAGTCTAAATATTAAAATGCATGCTTTTTATTATTATGTTGTTGCAGGCAACAAGTGCTTTGGATGCAGTTAGTGAGCGCCTGGTCCAGGATGCTTTGAACCATCTAATGAAAGGCAGAACAACATTAGTGATTGCTCATAGATTAAGCACAGTTCAGAACGCCCACCAAATTGCCCTTTGTTCTGATGGCGAGATAGCAGAGCTGGGGACGCATTTTGAATTGGTAGCTAGGAAGGGGCAATATGCTTTATTAGTTGGCACCCAAAGGCTGGCATTCGAATAATATTGAATTCGATACATATCATGTCTAAAACAAAGAAGACAAAGGAAAAGAGGAAAAGATGTAATTTAAACTATAGTAACCACCAATAATGCGAGTAGTAGCATTGACTTGGATGCCAATACTTTCTACTTACTGCCTTACTAGTGGCTTTTATATTTGCTGCAACCTTGATTTTGCTTGAGGTTAGACAACTCAATTATGGATTTTGTTTTCTTCTGGGGGTCGTAAAGAGGAGGCAGGAGTGGTTGAAAATAGTTGTATTTTTTCTTTTTGCTTGATCAAAATGTTCATATTTTATAAAGTATCATGTAAAATGATACAAGACTTTGGCATAGCCAAGCACATGATCATAAGGCAGTAACCCAGAACGGTTCTGCTACCAACATCACGCCTAAAACAACAAATACCGGGAGACCCCAAACACCTATTGCTATACATTGTAGCACTTTACCCGTTAACATCATAAATTCAAACAAAGATGTAAAGAACTAATAACTGAGATAATAGTAAGTTATAGTAGGAACTATATTGTTGTAAGTTGTAACAAAGATGATAGTACTAGGAAACTGGTAATAAATAAGTTATACTGTGCCTTTGCAATGTACATTGGTCACTTATATATCAAAGAAATTTAAAGACAAGTTGTTAGCCGAGGCTAGGGGTTGTGACCAGAGGTTGAGCAACGAGCACCGGATGCCGGATTAGGGTTATTTTTTCAAAGCAGGAAACAGGGGAAGTTCCAAGTAACTCTTCCTGAGTTTTTTTTTCCGGTAAATAAATACTTATTACACTTTAGATAGTCATGAGTAACATTGTAACAATATATACAACATATTTTTATGTGGTGAAAATTGCATGCTTCATGAAGAATTACATAAGGTGATGACAGCATTCAGTTTGGCAAGGCATTCAGTGGGAAGACCGAGGAAAGAATTCATGAAGAAATCATCAATAGGGTCAACAGATGCTACTCCAACCAATTTGCAATTCCCTTTGTTATCCAACCTCTCTCCTCTTGCACTTCTAATCTTTCCTTTTGATTCCTCAGATGTTAAAACTGTCTTCACCAGCAATGGTGGTGCTTTGTAAATACTCCCAACAGAAAAGCAGAACTTGGCCAAGAATTCCAGGTCAACCTACAAAAGCAAATGCAAAGAAACATCGCAATTCATGCAATATTTGCTTCTTTAACAAACTACTGTGTTACTTTAAGTAAGCTTAACTTACCTTGCCAGATTCTTGGTTGATGTTTCCTTTAAAGAGTTGAGGGACAATGTCAATCTTCAAAAACGGTGGCAACGGCAATCCCAGAAACTTGGTTGTTGCACTTGTCAGTGGTGGAACGTACAGTGTTTTAAGGTCAAAACTAACTGAAAGTTCATTACCATCGTTGATCTTAGTACCAGTTCCAGTTCCTGCTCCCCCTTCAGCATTATACTCAAAGTCGGGATATCTGGAAATACCTAGCTTACAAGCTCCCAGGGTCCTGAAGCTAATACCATAGACATCAGCCTTTGGCAGCTGGGTTTCGATGGATTTGGTTGTGGAAACAGCTTCGCCTTTGTTTGGTGCATAAGAAGAGAAAGCAATAAGTCTAGTTCTAAAACGTGGTTTCCTTGCAGGGACCTGACATAAGATTGGTGGTTCCAAGGAGTTCAGTTTACAACCCATTTTCTGTTGGGAATGGAAAGCTTCGTTTTGAGTTCTCAAAAGTGAAAAGAAGAGTAGCACACGTATTCTTGCAATGGAATCATGTTATCAGCTAATCCATGTGGAATAACCGAAAGCACTAATTGTTTTTGTTCAAATAGATGAATGGAGTATATCAAAATGCGTGGCTGGTTTTGTTGGAAAGTTAGGACCTTATCTTTTACACTTTGGAAAAATCATGGAATATGGTGAAATTTCGTCCAATTGATGCACTGATGGTGATTTGTGAATCAAGTCGGCTCTGAATCTAACGTTTACATATTCAAAATCTATGACCAAAATAACTGGAATCAAACCGGCCAAAAGAAACTAAATCTTCTTCTTCTTTTGTTTCATTGCTTGGAACGGTCACGATTGTTATTACCGTCAATCACAATTGCCAAATCTTATCGTTAAACCGGACCTTACTCGGTTATCAAATTGCAAATAGAAGTTTCCTTGGGAAACCTACTTGTACCTTTTCCTTTTGTTTTTCTCTTTTTGAAGTAGTTTCCATTGGTATCCACAAGTTCGATGGAATGGCTTGAACAAAAGCATTAATATGATGGCACCGTTTGCCTACCTTAATTTTTTTTTGTCACAACACAACAAAGGAAAAGATACATAAAATTACAGTTGCTGTTTTTTATACAATGCCAACATATGAAACCTGGAAAACTTCATACCATCCTTTATACACCAAGCAAAACCCCAGCAGCCACAACTTGTTACCTAGTATCAACCAGTGAAAAAGCTAGAAGCAGCACTCATTCGAAGCTGGTGCTAAGCACCGGGAATCAGAAACATGGGCACAAAACACTACCTAATACAAGATTAGCTATAAAAACTTTTACATGGAAATGCAATTTCTGCAAATGTTAATTCTCATCAGAGCTATCCTGACTCATAGCAAGAGCTCAACACACAAGAGATGACCTCAGGGATGTGGCAGTTGGGAGATTGGTGCATGATGCCCATCGGATAACTGATTCAGACACCATGAAATCAAGTTGTTCTCGCTCACCATGACCAATGGTGCGGTTCCTTTTGCTGTGAAAGGCCAACATCCTGGACCCACTTGATCCCCCTGTCCTCCTAAATTCAGCTGCCTTGTTCTCCATTTCTCTTGCCTCAGGCCCACAGCAAGGAGAAGAATCAGGCAACACAAGCACCTTGTCTAAACCTGCATCTGCACAATGATGCAAAAACATAATTTGGGATGCCAAATGTAAGAGAACAAATGTTAATACGGAGAGTTGAAAGATGGTTAACACAAATTACCTCCACAAATTGTCTCCATTCTGGTAACGGTGGTTGAGAAATCTAAATTGCAGTTCTCTTGTTCAACCACAGAACATGGACTGAAGAATGCAAAGCTTGGCATTGAGGGTACAGGAGAAGAAAATTCTAAGGTATCAGATTTACCACTGCAGAATGAAAATCCACCCAAGGGGAAGCAAGGAGTAGATGGCTCCACCAAGAAAGAAGAAAATGATGTTCTGCATGTGAGTGCAGGTGACTGAACATCACAAATGATTGGTGATCCAGCACCAAAGCTGATATCCTGATCCCTAGACAAAAAGAATGAGCCACTACCTATTTCCCACTCTCCACAACTTTGGTATATAAGCTCACGTGATTCTTCATGACAAGATTCATCATTCTTCATCCATAAATGATCTGCAAAGAGACGATTCAAAGTTAAGCTTCTTGAGAAGGGAGAAATTACAGAAACAAGTGAGAAAGGGACACTCTTTTAAGTATTTCTCAGGGCCTACTGGCCCATTCATACTAGTCAGCCAAACAGGCAGCTTCATTCAATTTAAGAAAGTTAGTACAGAAGCTGTTGCAACTCTAAGAATTATGGCTATGGTAAAAACACAATCCTAACATTAATTGCATTGGTTCCTTTGAACTCTTCTTGAGTTAAGCAAATAGATAAAATTGGCCTTCCCATTATGAGGTTTCCATTTACTTTAATGCCAGAAAAGATAATAATTAAACAACTATTTTAACACTGTCCACATGCCCCAATATATTTATGACGGTTGTTCACAGTGAATTTCCAACCTACCTAAAACCTGCAAAGCAGTGAGTCTTTGAAAAGGATCTGTATTGAGCATTCCCCTGACTAAATTCTTTGCAGAATCAGAAATGCGATCCCAAGGATCTGATGGGAACTGCAGATCAGCTGCCCTCACAGCATCAAATATTCGTGACTTAGTCTTGCCCCAAAATGGCGGTGTCCCACTAAGAAGTATGTACAGAATCACCCCAGCACTCCAAACATCAGCAGCCTGATTATATCCCCCCGCCAGAACCTCAGGAGCTATATAAAATGGACTCCCAACAGTCCCATGCAAACACCGCCCTGTTGGTAACAAAACCCAAAATGGTTAAAAACATAAAAACCTAAAAATGTTTAAGGAAGCAAGCAATCGCTATGAGAAAAATTGTTCTTGGTTAGAGAAAGGGGTAAAAGAAATGTATAACTATACCAGGCTCAATGTACGTTGCAAGACCAAAATCTGCTAGTTTGATTGGTGATGATGAGGCTTTTGTTGCTAAGAGGATATTCTCTGGCTTTAAATCTCTATGAACAACCCCAATTTCATGACAATATAGGACCACTTGCATCAGATGTCTGAAGAGAACTGCAGCCTCTGCCTCAGAAAAACGCCCATACTTCTCTAACCGGTGGAAAAGCTCCCCTCCTGCGCAAAGCTCCATCACCAAATGCACATAGTCCTCATCCTCATAAACAGCCTTGAGATCTACAACATTTGGATGGCCTGATAACCTAGTCATAATTTCAATTTCAAGCTTGACACTCCTTGCATCATCAGATGTTACCAATCTATCTTTAGATATCGATTTGCATGCCAGTACCTCTCTAGTCAACTTATCTGAGCACAACCTGATAACACCAAATTGACCCCAACCCAATTGTTCTCCAAGAATGTATCGATCTTTCAAATTTGCAGTCTGTTCAGTCTCCAAAATTGTTTGACTCAAGCTTGCAACTTTGTAGCAATTGCACGGTTGCTTTGACGTTTCACTGATGCTGTTGCTCTTGGCAACAGCCATAACACTTCCTAGCCCTTTAACCAATCCAAAAATGATTCAGAATCTTGGTTTATGACCCTATGTTCTTGGCAGCAGTAATAACTTAGGTCTCCCAAAGAAACAAGGAAGTCGAATTTTAGGTCAAAATTTTGATTTATATATTTTTCTGTTCACATAACTCGTCATCACCAAATCCATACTTGAGGTCAAGACTCCTAAAACATAAGACTTTCAAGGTTAGTTATTGAACTTCGACAGCAACACTCACTGCGAAGAACACCACACCAGAATTCGTGACAGCATGACCTTAAAATGGAACACTGAGCCCAAAAACATCATAATGTTAAATGCACAGCTGAGGATTCATCTCAGTTTTTATCAGATTGCCTGGATCTGTAAAAAGATAGAAATTATCAGCTTTCAATCAAGCACTTTAATTCAACTCCCAAAAAAAAATAAAAACATGTTCTTTGTGGATTAAATTAGAAACTATAATATTGTTTTTTTAAAAAATAGAACTATAATACCATGGAAGTCCAATTTGACAAAAACCTCACATAAATACATCAATATATTTTGTTAGCTCAACAAGCTTTAATCCAAGCTCAAAGCAGAAAACGAATCACATTCCAACATCAAATAAGAAACAAACAAACTTTATCATACCAAAAGCTCAACCAAAAAGATTACAATTGAAAACCCTAAACACCTAAAGAACCACCTCAACACCTTAAAGCACCAACACCCATCAGCTAAAAAGCCAGTAATCACATAAAAAAAAAGCAAAATTCAACAGAAACCCATCAAAATTTACCTCAGAACAAAGCACCCCCAGATCCAAAATCTTCCCTTCCTCACAACCAAAGAAACAAAAACCCACGTTTCAAATTCAAACACACAAAACAAAACATAGACCAAAAAAAACTATAAAGATTATAGAAAGAGAAACAAAACCTGGCTAGGAATATAGAGAGAGAGCACCACAGAAGAAGAAGAAGTCCGTTGGAGCAGTGACAGAAAGCTCCCCCAAGCAGACCTCTCTCTGTGGGCTCTTCTTTTGGTCTCTTCTTTTTTAAGTTTGTTTCGAGGAAATTTTTTTTTTTTCAAAAGAAAAAGGACGAAAACAATGCTTCGAGGCTTTGAGGCATGGCTGTTGGTGTTTTTTGTCGTTAGTTTGGTTCTGTTGTTTGAAATTTCCTCGGACCCGAAGTTTAAGTTTGATTCAGTTTAATTATGTTTATTTTTTACTTATGTTAATTTGTGTCAAAGTTCTGTTAAACGGCGGGTTGACTTCTACTAGCCCGAACCTGCGAAACGTTTGGTTTTTCTCTATTAAAGTGAAGTTAAAAACGCTGCCCCTCCTATCCAATTCCCCGTCTCTATTTCCACTAAAGAAACGGAAAAAAGCGCCCCCCCTCTACCCAAAGGAGCCATATTTACAAAAATGGAGCTGGAGATGGACAATCTTATGGGTTTCCAGTCGTAGGTAAATACTCTTTAACCATGGCTTATTTGAAGGGATTGAAGTTTGCATATTTAATTCTAATCTGCATTAGTTGCATATGATTAGCATTGAACTTTTTGGAAATGGGGATTTTTGTTCTTCTATTGTTGATTATTACCGAAAGTTTGTTTAAGCAAAGTTCATTATAAGCTGCTGACATTCAAGAATATATCTTTTTCTTAAGCTCGGATTTTGAATTAGCTCAAGTTGGGTAGTAGTAGGCTGTAGATGTGATTTGGGATAATGGGTTTTGGCCTGGACTCTTTTGTTTATTCTTTGTTGGAGAAGAAATTAATTGAATTTTCTAATTTAGACTGAAAGTATTGTGATGTTAGATGAGTATTTTGTTCGTTTTTATGTTCTGAGCTGAGAAGAAGTAAAGAGTTAGCAGTATATTTTGACCATATAGGTGAATGATAACAATGTTTTTCTTTTCTTTTTTTTTTTTGTTCCTAGAGTTGAATTGGGGCAGTTCCTAATGACATGAAGGATCTCATTACATGCATTCTGAACACAAATTTGCATTCCAATGCAATGTCATAAGCTGTCCAGCTGAACCGCATTTGTTAATGGATGCTTGCAGATCATTCAGTCTATAGCTGCATTTGTTGAAAATGATACAAAATTCAAGTATGTCATGATACAATAATACATGGTTTATACATTCGTGTATTTGATTTGGTCTTTTTGTTTTCTATCAGCATTGCATTCTTGTTTGTGTTTTCTGCTATCCAGGTTCACCTTCAACTTTTTCCTCTACCTGTTTTTTCCAGGAGTGGTATTCTGATTGACCCTTTTGATGAAGAATTTATAAATGGCACTTATGATTTTGCCTTCTGCAAGCCTCCTCAAATTTCATTTGAGTCCTCAAGCTAGACTTTCACGCCGAAAGTCATTTATTTCACGATCACCAACTGGGTTTCTTAACATCCGAGCTGTGCAAGAAAATGGAGGCCCTCGAAGACTAGTTGATATCATAAGGCTTGTGCCAGATATCACTAGGAATTACTTTCGAAGTCCTTCTCGAAGGGCACTTTTTGGTGGAATTTCCTTGTTGGGTGGTTTTTATGTTGCACAAACAATCTCTCTGTCGTTTGGAGCCTTAGGAGTCAATGATGTGATTGCAGCAGTATTATGTGTGCTCTTGACAGAGTATGTGACAAGGTTTTATTACAGCCGTCCAAAGGTAACATTCCCAATTGCTCTTCTCAACAATTTCAAGATGGGTTTCACCTATGGACTGTTCATTGATGCTTTTAAGCTTGCCAGTTGATTATATCTAGTGTCTTGACACTTGCGATGGTCATTCATACTATTAAGTTTATAAAACTCTTGACTTTCCTTTAGGTGTATATTTTGTAAGATACACTTTTTCCCTCTTCTTCTGTCACATCTTTTTTTTTCCCTGTTTTGCGGTTACCTCTTTAATCCCTTTCTTCTCATTTGCTCTAAATTCCTATATGCTTCTTTTCTTGTTGTTGTAAGTATGTAAATCTTCGTCTTCCTACATATTGGTGAAGAGAACTCTCAGACCAAAAGTTTTTCATGTTTGGGTCTGTTATCTTAATTGTTATTTGTAGAGCTAGTTAGTTAGTTATCAAGACAAATATCACTCCCCAGGGTAACATCATTACTAAGCTGGATGTGGTCTTTTGCTGCTTTTGTTTACTTACCTGTGGAAATTGCAGTTGTAGTTCATGACGTTGTGACTTGTTTTGGCATAATTCCACATCCATTGACCGCACGAACTGCTTAATATTTATATGAAATGTGATTGATTCCAACCAGATTCGCATGCTTTATTTGGTCCTGTGCCAATGAATATTGTAAGACTCCTTTTATACGTATGCATCCCAATTCCCAAATTTTGTTTCTGTAATTACCATGTTAATGACATTTTTCTGCACCATGCGCACTTCATAACCTGTTGAATACATGATATGAGCAAACCTTGTTGCATTATTTGTTGTTGTTCTTGAGGTCGCCCCTTACTGATGCACCTCACAGTAATTTTCCCCACGGGACAAACCTTTGGTGGTCTATTATGTTGGTACTCTCTGATCAATCTTGGAAGGTGGTATTGTACTGCAGTTTTCTGGATACCTTCAAGTTGTTTAGGCTTTGCTCATGAGCATGCTCTACTTTGTGAGTCTTTGATATGTCTCTTAAGGAAGATTCATTACCTGGTCCTTTGGTAACACCACCTGTCTTGTTAAAGGTGCCTGCTCTTTAATTTCTGAAGCAGCAGTTTCTCAAGGAAAGACCGCAAGGCAGAACGCATATTTTTGTCTGAGCTTAGTCTCTCTTACATAGCATGCCTGTGAAATTTATAATGCAAAAATGCTAGACATGGTGCTCAAAACTGCTTCATTAGTACGCATGTTCCCTTAAATCGGTTATTGGAATATAGGAGATGCAATAGAATTGAAAAGAGAAAGGGAAGTTTCTGATGAAGCCGAGATATGCCAACGTACCCATCCTGTAATAGCCTGCAGCGGAGTCAAAAACATTGAAACAAAGAAGTAAGGGGGTTCATTGGAGTTGTTGCCTCGATTAAAACTGATTCTAGTTGTGTTGTTATGATATCATGGTGGTTTGCATGGTTCATGGACTCCTGCTCAATCATTAAATATTAATTCTGGTCTGCATGGGTCATGGTCGTTGCTTGCACCTTTTCTTTTGTCCATTTCCCAAGGTTGGAAGTGGAAGTACCTAATTCAGTCACTTGTAGTTTTAAAACCAGTTTTACTTAAGGCCTAAAAGAAGCCTTTGTAATCGCCACTTAACAAATTGGAAAGTCGTATGATGATACACGAATTGTTGGGCCAAGTCAGGAAGGAAAAATGGGTCGGGTCCAATTACGCGGCGCACTTGTTCACAATTTATACTTGAACCGTCATGCAACAATTTGTCACCAAAACCTAGACTTGTCAAACCGAACCTCACGTATTAGATCAGCTTATTTGTTATTTAAAGTGAGATGGGTTGGAATTTAAAAATTCAGACTTATATTAGAATTGGATTTAAATGGGTCAATTCATTTGTTCAATGGATTGTCTTGGATTAGTGTGGGTTAGAAAAAAAATTAATAATTTTAGTTAATTTAATAAGTTTATATATTTAGTTATATAAAATTAATAATTTAATTACTAATGGTATTATTTATTTTATATATTTTAATATCTTTAATTTTTACTTGTCAAATTAATAATTTTAGTTAAGATTGAAACTCATTATCTCTTTTACTTTTATGATAATAACTATTAGATCATAATAATTCAAACCTTGTAACATAATTATTGTCCAAACAAGATTCAAATATTTTACTTGAATATAAAGATTGAGTAAGACATAAATGAGTTTTGAAGTTTTTACTTATTTGGTTATATATTTATATTTATGAGATTGTAATTTGTGTTGAAGATTAAAATTTTAATTATATATAATATAATTTTTTTTACTTTTTTATGTTTAGTGTAATTTATTTATTTGTAATATATTTTTATTATTTAATTTATCAATTAAATTATAAAATAATTTAATTGATAAGAAATTTAAAAGGTAGAATTGTGAAAATGATTTTTTTTATATAAAAAAAAGTAGGCTGGTCCAATCTGACTCATGGGCTGGCAGCGGTTGAGTTGGGGCTGGGGTTTTGATGGTTTATGTCAAAAATAGACTGATCCGACCCAGATCATATTTTTTCAACCCGTAATATTTTGAACCGGGTTGAACCGG